CTAAATATATATATATATATATATATGTATTTTATAATTTAGTATTGGTTCGGCTCGGCTTGAACTGAGAAAAAAAAACCCTTCAACCCTTCAACCGAACCGAATTTTCGGTTCTACCAAAAAACCAACACAACCCAACCCAAATGGTTTGGGTTGGGTTGGCTGTGTTCTTCGGGTCACTGGGTTTTCTGAACATGCCTAATAATAGTTTTAAGGATGCGGTATAATGACTAAATTTCTCTTGGTTACTTAAGAAACTGTTCTCAAAACCCAGGATTGCTCACCTACCCCATTAAAACATTTTATAAGTTTTCTAACTACCAAATTCTAAATATGGGGTTGAAGAGCTTCAAGAGGAGTAGTTGCCAGAGAGAAACTCAGTTTTTGGATGTTTGAAGCAGTTTTTGGATTTTTGAAATTCAGTTTGCAGATTGTATAATTCCTCTTCGATGCCTAAGGAATTATTTACAGCCTTATGGAAGTCTAAAAGTCCAAGGAAAGTTAATATCTTTTCTGGAATTCTGCTCAAAAGGAAGTTAAATACTGCTGATTTGATTCAAAATAAGGAATTATTTACAGCCTTATGGAAGTCTAAAAGTCCAAGGAAAGTTAATATATTTTCTTGGATTCTGCTCAAAAGAAAGTTAAATACCGCTGATTTGAGTCGAAAGAACTTCCCACAGTTTCATTGCTTCCTTCTTTTTGTGTTCTTTGTGAATTGAGTGGGGAAGATATTGATCATTTGTTTTTCCATTGTTCTTTTGGCACTCAAGGCTGGATTTTTTATTAGTTCAAGATCAGTTGGGTTTTTGATTTGAGGGCTGAAGCAAATTTGACTCAATTGTTAAGTGGAGTCACACATTTGTCACCTACGGCAAGACTTATGTGGATTAATGTGGTGAAGAGTTTTCTCTCATAAATCTGATTTGAGAGGAATCCGAGGATTTTTAAGAGTAAAAGAAGATCTCTGCTTGATTGTCTCTCATCCCCCAAGCTCAAAGCATCTCATTGGTGTTCTCTTTCTGAGCCATTCTCACATTATTCCCTCTTTCTTATTTTTAACAATTGAGATGTTTTTATTTGACCTTGTAATTCTGTTGTTTAGATTATGTATTTTTGTCTTTTTGTTTCTTTTTCACTTTTTCCAGCATGTTTACTCTTTGTACTTTTCGTATGGTAATAGGTACTCAGAAACAGTTCTCTGTGCGCACAAAATTTGCCGTTTATCTTGTTTGTCTAACAAGTAACGGCTTGATAATTCTTTGTGGCTTTGCTGAATGACCACGTATTCTTTTGGTTTAATTTTCATTAATTTATCTCTAATATTCGTAATCTACCGTTGAGATATCCATATATGAATTAAATTTACCTAACCCATTAACTTAAGCTTTTGAGTTGAGTAATGGTTTATTCATTCTCAACATGGTATCAAAGCGGGAAGTCCTGTGTTCGAACCGCATTGTTATTTCCTCCCCATTTTATAATGATTTCCACTTGTTGGGTCTTGTGCAATTATCGGAGCCCACTTGTGAGGGAACTGTTGAGAATTGAGATATCCATATATGAATTAGATTTACCCAACTCATTAGCTTAAACTTTTGGGTTGATTGGTGGTTTATTCATCCTTAACCTCTAACTTATCTTTTTCATTTCCAAATCACCAACTATCAAGATGTGTGTATTTGATTCAGTTATTTCCTTGATGCTGCTTAACTTGGTTTGTTGTCTTTTGTGCCATTATGATCTATAAGTGCCTTATAACTTCTAATGATTTGCACAGATGGTAAAGTGTGGAGATTATTTTCAGGCTGAAGATGGTCCTAGAGATTTTGGTAATATATATGTTGTCTCTCAATGGATAAAAACTTCCAACTCCTCTCTTATTCTGCGCCATTTGGAGGTGAACCGTAAAGAGGTAATATTTTTACATGCTTGTTTCCGTGTGTGGGTAACTTCTATACTTGCATCATAAATACTCGTGATGGGTACCAATATGGTTAACTGAAGTGAGGATAAGGAAATTAGGGCAAGAAGCTGGTGTGAATGGAGCCGTTCGGTGTCGTAATTAGAGGGTGGGTTGAGTATATACTGAAAGTGATAGGTTGGGTCAGACTTTGCATGTGTGTGAAATGCGAGGAGGAATAAAGAGCGTAGGAAGTGAGAGACAAAGAGTAAAGTGTCAGGTGTTAAGATCCGAATTACAAGGAAAATATTGCAATATCAAAAATAAATTATGATATCAATAGCTTGAACGGGACTATCTCTCTGACAATCCATCCACGATGGACTGAACCACTAATTCCCAAAAAATTATGCCTGTTATAACTTTCTCTATTTATAACCCAGACACCCTAACAAACCAACGAGTAATTACAATTATGCCACCAATAATATCTTAATAACATTTCCCTATTAATACTCTAACATCAGGTTATTTGGGCATCACTCGGGAAAGGGAGTCAGGGAAGTCTCTCAGATATTTTTCTCTTTGGTTTTGCAACATTTTTTTATTGAATGATAGACCCCAAATTACTAAGGTGTATGAGTGGAAGCGTGTGAGAAAGGAAAGGGAGGTGTGAGAGAAGATAAGGAGGGGGGCCCATATTATTTTGTTAGTTATGTGATGGGCCACGTTAGTAGAATATTATGTAGGGAAGTTGGTGTAGGGGTTGGGTATCATTCATTGAGAAACATGAAAGTTTTTACTTTACTTTGTTGAATGGATCATTTGCTGAATATCCCATCAGTTGCCTCAAGGGTAATCCAAGCATACCAAAACTCAGAGGAACTGCAAGCCTTGTGGTATAATGTGTTAGGCCTCAGCCAACAATTTATTTATCAACAAGTTCTTGCCGAGGGAGATTGGACAGGTTCCCACCTCTCCCTCTAGAAAATATTCAGCAAAAAAGATATCCAACCCCTACTCCAACTTCCCTACATAATATTCTCTAACGTGGCCCATCAAATAACTAACAGAATACTATGGGCCCCCTCCTTATTACATTAAATCTTCCGCTCATACAACTTAGTAATATGGCATAATGTTGGCCAATTTTTGGCTTTTTGACCCGGGTGGATCTTTCAAGATCTCCCTCCAAGCTGTACATACGACTTTCATCGAATACGGCTTTCCACAAAATTCTATATCGAGATATAGCTTGCTTCTCGGGTGGCTCGCACCCCGGGTGATGCGGCTGAGCCAGAGTGGGCTCAGCAGTCGGCCTATGTTTTTTGAGATATTAAGATAATCAAAAGAGAATATTTCTTTTAATTATTTTTAATGAACTCTGTATTGACCTCTTCTGTGCTTTAACTAGCTCTGAAATGTAATTGCCTCTCCATTTAATTTGTAGTTGGAAGAATCTGTGGCTGTTTTGCATATTCAGTACGCAGAATGGCCTGACCATGGAGTTCCTACTGACACACTTGCTGTTCGTGAAATGTTAAAGAGGCTGTATCATTTACCTCCCGATCTCGGCCCAATAGTGGTGCACTGCAGGTACAGCCTATGTTTATCATGGTACAGTCGATGGTGCTCGTTCACTTTATCTGAGGTTTTTTCTCTTCTTCAGTGCAGGTATTGGGAGAACGGGAACATATTGTGCAATTCATAACACAATTCAGAGAATCCTTGCTGGAGACATGTCTGCTCTAGATCTTGTCAGTACCATTTCCACATTTAGGTCCCAGCGAATTGGAATGGTCCAAACACTGGTAAAATTGCTTTTAAATTGTTAAAAAATTTTCATCCATGCAAAGACAGTAATGTTCATTGATAAAGTCACTGTTGCTGAACAGAAATGTGTATAACCCTTGAAGTTTATCCTTCTTTGCCTTCTTTGTACAGAAAGTGACCGACTTGTTTGTCATCGTTGAGTGTAAAAGGTGTTAATAGTAAATTTGTAATTTATTTTTCGAAAATGGCACAAATATAAGAATCAGTATATCAGTGACAAATTTTATATTAGGTGGTGTATCGATTATACACTTTATATTAGTATATATTAGATAACCAGAGCATAACTCAATTGGTTAAAACATATATCATTGACTAAAAGGTCGAAGGTTCGAATCTCCACTCCGCATGTTGTTGAACTAAAGAAAAATATTAGTATATATTAGATCTCAAATAAATAATATATTAAGCCAATAAGAGCTTAGCTCTACGGTAATTGGCACCTATCTCTGACCAAAGGACCGTAATGTTGAATTTTACACCCCACTTGTTGTCTAGGTATATTAGTAATATACTTTTATCAACAATACAAAAGTGATATATTAATACACGGGAAGTTGCCATTTTTGTAAATGTAGTAATATACTTTATCAACCATACAAAAGTATAGTATATATACATTTGCCATTTTTGCAAATTACTCCTGAAAGTAACAAATTTGCAATTATGGCAACCAGTTTTACTAGCCATTATAATTTTCCTTCAATATTTTGAGATGGTTTCTTCTTTTCTGCACCATCATATTAAAGAGTCCAAACATTCTGATAAGGTCAGCTGGAACTGCATGCAATGCATAGGCTGGCTTGTTTGGATCTGTCAAATTCAGAATTTCTTGCTATGAATCATTTAGTTCTCGATCATGTCATTTCTTCCCCTTCGTTCCTTTTTCTCATATACCAATTCTGTTTCTTCATTATTATGCAAATAGCTGGGACTGATCTATTATGCTCATAGAGTTGCGCATTCACTCTGTTCCTTGCCTTTCCCTTATTGTTTTACTCCTAACAAACTTGCAACTCCTCTGCCTATCAGGATCAATACTTTTTCTGCTATACAACTATCGTTGATGAGCTAGAAGACCTTATTTCTGTTCCACAATAGAAGCTCAAAGCGGTAAGGTTATTCTTGGATTCTCTCATCTCGACCCGTTTTCTAGCTTTTTTACTGCTATGGCATATAACTTCAAAGAATAGTAATATTACCTTCTCCCACCTCCCCTCGTAATGTTCTGCAGGATATCATTCCCGACCCAGCTATGACTGCTTAAATCTTTTAACTGATAGATTGATGACCGACCATATGCAGGATTTGGATCTTGCTGTCTTAGATGTATAAAGAGCTTGCTGGATTTTACCTTCAGCGTTGATGAAATCATCAGCTATCCTTCCAGGAAGCTCATTTTCTTGAGCAGCCCCAATTATGAACACTGTTCATTCTGGTCACCATGAATGTGCTAACCAACTAATTAATTCTCTGGAAACCTGTTGGTGCTCGACAATGGATAGATTGCTTAAAATGAACATAATTGAACCATTCTGAATTCAGTCAGTGATTTTTCAGATTCAAATATTTTGTGAGAAACATTTGCCACCACCCAACTAATTATTCTTTTTGGGGTTTACTGGATACTCCTTGCTCCAAATTTCATCTCCTTCAGTTTGCTAATGCTCTTCTTGGAATATGATTGCTTTTCAGGATCCTGTCCATAACAGAGGAGCGTATAGAACTATTGGGTTATAGAGTTGCTACAACGTTAAATTACAAGTTTAGCCTACTTTTGAGTTTATATTGAATAAGTTCTTGAGCTTTTAAAAGTGTCTAACAAGTCCTCGAATTTGCAATTCCTTATTTAACGGGGATCCTAATTTAATTGACAGTTTTTTAAAATTAATGTATCTTAGTAGAAATAACTTTTGATATCAACACGTGGGAGCGGGGATTTGAACTTTCGATCTTTTGGTTGAAGATATGTCTTTAACTAGTTAAGCTATGCTTAGGTTGGAATGTATTCGACAAAATTGAATTGTGTCTAGGAAGATCTTAAATTTCAGACTTATTTGACTCAATCGAAAGTTCCAGTTGATTACATTTTTAAAAGTTGAAGAGCTTGCGATGTTTTTCAAATTTGATGGACCTATTAGATACAAAACTATTAAACCTAAAATTTTACTATGATTTTGTCTATTTAGCTTTTAAAAGTTTCAATTATATTCTTTTAACCTTCAATTTGGTTTCTAATAAGTCTTTGTTGGTAATACTAAAGTAATGATTTGAAACAACCTCAACAAAGGAGTTGGATAGCTAGATAAAATAATGGAATGGTGTAATCGATAAGGATTCATTATAATCCGAATCAAAATTGAAAGCTAGGGAATAGAATTGGAATTCTTTCATATTAAAAAACGACTAAACTTGTAATTTAACCTAGTTCTAATTGATATATCTGTCAAAGTTATAGTAGTTCTTTAAACAACTTTCATGTCGCCCCATCGGTATCTTCCACGATTCATTTGAACTAGTCAAAATGACTTTTTATTTTATTTTATTATTTTTTTTTTCAAGTATCCAAGTCAATGTTGAAGAATATTCTGTCTTGTGAACCATACTACAAGATCAGTCAACATAATGCTTGGAGGTTTGGAATTTTTGAAAAATCTAGAAGTCATTGTTTGAATTATAGTAGCAATAGCATTAGGCTATTATAAGTTATATGCTTTTTTTTTAATTCTTTTAATTTTTAATTTCTTTTTACTCCTGTTTGATTTTTCAGTTTTGGCATCAAATTCCAACTCAATGTTGCTGTTTATGTGATGGTCGGAGAAGTTGTTCATAGTTTTGATAGGAATGTCAACCTAAATATAGCTCAATTAGTTAAAGTATATATTATCCATCGAAAAGTCAGATGTTCGAATTCAAAGATTGTCATATATGTCGCTGAATAAAAGAAGGAAAAAAGAGAAAAAGAAGAAAAAAAAATTCCTATGTGACTGAGATTAGTACCCATTCTGACTTTTTGTCTTTTTTTTTTTTTCAAAAAAAGAATAGATTTAGTGGGAGATATGAACCTTGGATGGAAAAATTGGCCCAATCATCAAGCAATGCTTCTGAGGACATAAATTCAAGTGAGGGTGGCTACCTTTCAAATATATTTCATATCTTAGGGTCTTCTTCAATAGGTTGTATGGTTCATATGTGAATATATATACAACTACTAATAAATGGTTTTAATATTGGTTTGGCATTTCAACTTTCGTACCGAGTTTCTAGTAAAATAAGATATATGATTCTATCCAAATCAAAGGAACTACTCCTTGTTTCGGAAAAAAAAAGGAAAGAAAAGAAAAGCCACCCCCAGAATTTCTATTCTGTGATTCGAATTCAGAGCGCGGACCTGTATGTTCCTACAAATTTGATGAGGAGATCTTTTACGATTGGTCTCTTTTGAGAAACATAGTGGCGGTATTATTTAGTCATTAAACTCTTAGAATGTTTAACTTTAATTATTGAACCATGAATTAAAAAGAGTAGAAAGAACTATTTTAGTTTGTACTATTAATTTTTCATTAATAATTTAACAATACTCAAATTTGTTTGAAAAATTTCATTACTACCATGGGGCTTCAAATGTTAATTAGGTAAATGAGAAAAAGATTTTTCTTAATTCTTTATTAAGAAATTAATGACAATTTAGTGTTTTACGCAATGTTCAAGAAATAAAATAGGATATTGAAAGTTTAGAGGCAAAAATAAAATAAACACTAAAGTTCAAGATTAGAATAGATGGCGAACATAAGCATAACTAAGCCGTTAAGATACTATTATTTCTTTAAGATTAGAGTTTCAAATCCCTAACTTCATATTTGTTGTACTAAAAGGAAAAAAAATACGACCTCGAAAAGAAAATATTTTTTTAAGAGTTTTTTATTAATGTTATCGTTTTCAATTTTATTAAAAAAACTTAAGCATTTTGCATCTATTTATATTTCTTGTTTCTCGTATTTTTAAAAACATTCTTAAAACTTTATGAAAATTTTGAAACAACCAAAAACAAGTTTCTTGTCAAAAACGTTATCGTCGAAACTATCACACCCGTTGTATGATGACTAGTTGATTTAGGCCGAGTTTGATAGCAAAGAAATTAGCATATCACTCTTGGAAAGAGGTAAGAGAAAAAGGAAATGATTGATCATTTATTTTCATTCTTCATTTGATATTTAATTTATCGCGTCAGAATTCTACATTTGCTTTCACACATGTTATTGAGAATATTTCCATATCCATTTGAAACCCTAATCTTAGGATCTTAGGGAAAAAAAAAAGCAAAAGGTATTAAATATTTGTTGACATGTCGACATTTCTATATGTTCATGGGTTCGACATCAACATGATAATGAATCAACATTGTCAGAGTATCGCAAAAAAATCGATAAAAAAAAAATCTATATATATATAAACCAACAAAATATCACTAATATTGAACATAATATTAATGTTAATAATTTTTAACTTGCTTAAAAATGGTGAAATGTTTATTGTTATGAATCTTTTAATTTTTATAATTTTTATAAAAATATTTATTGATGCCGTCATTCTAACAACATCTAAAATCTTGTCACTCCCACATTAGATAAATTAAAAAAAAAAATCTAGTAAAAAACATAATGGGAGGAAGACCAATTCGAATTTCATTATAAATTATTACAATATCATGAAATTGGTTAATTAAATTTATTTGGCAAAATTGGTCACTATCTTTGAATGGTCATATAAGGGATAAATATGTACCTTTCAAGCATTGAACTGCTATCTAAATTTTAATTTGATGATGTGTAGTTTCTTTTTTCACTTTTTGACCATTATTTTATTCCAATTTGTCCTTTATATTTTCATTGACGGTCAAAAAGATTAAAATATTCGCTAACATGTCAATATATTCATTGATATATTTGAAAATAGAATATTTAATTGTTATTAAAGATCTATCAATATTTTCTATATATCTTATAAATATCATTGAAATATTGTTTAAAAAAATATCATTGAAATATAAAAAATATCAACAAAAGCAACCAATATAGAACTTTTTTTTTACAATATTAACTCATTAAAGAAGTGTAAAATACTTGTTAATTAATTGAAATAATTTATATAAACTTCTTGCAAATACTTGCTAATTAATAGTATCTTTTTAAAAATAAATAATGTACTTTAAAGAGAAAAAAAAAGAATTATAACTTTCAAACTATCTAGGTAGGATAAACAAATTACTGGGCCGCGATTCCGTAAATCGCGTTCAAAGGTCACGATTTAAGGGGTTTTTTTCTTCTTCTTTTTGAAATATATTTAAGGCCACTAGGTATAGGTTAAGGTAAATACGGCATGTCATGTATGTATACAAGTTTTAAATAAAAATTTTTAAATTACTCTCTTGGTCTAATGGTCGAGAATGAAAGTGTCAATATCGGTAATTGAAATTTACAAATATATTGATGGATGTTTAGATATCAAGAGATGTTTGGGGTGAAAATCATACTGCCACGTGGAGGGTAGAGAGAGGTCCAACTTAGAAGGTCTCTCTTGGTGACCAACCTGAAGGGCTTCCCTGATGGCCTACCTAAAGATCTTCATTGAGAATCGATCTCATCAAGGTCTTCCCTGAAGACCGAGTGAGTGTCTTCCTGAAGGCCGACCTGAAGGTCTTCCCTGAAGATCGTTCCAGGAAGAAACGACCTTCCATACTTAACCAAATTCCAGATGATAAGCATATGAACTAGAATAGCTACTTCTGACAAGCCGACCTTGGTCCCAACATGCTCACCACTGGTCGGATTCCTTGTTGGGTACCTGAGCCTATAAATAGGGCACTTCACTCTTCAGTCAGGTAGGTATCCTATTCTAGCTCGGTCTCCATACTAAGGTCGAACTCAAAACTGACTTTGAGCATAGGAGTGTTTGCTCCCTTGTGGAGGTCTTTCCTCGCCAAGTGGTATTTCAGCTCATTCCAGACAGCCTACCTTGACCTCTTGAACTGGTTATTCCTGAAAACATATGAAGGTAAAATTAGGGTTTGATTTATTAACAACTTAATTAAACTTGGAATACAATATGATACTTATATAGGTCATTAACCCTAAATATGAAAAGACAAATCTACCCTCAAAGACAAATAATAATAATGACAAAACTATTTATGCTAACATTCCCCCGCAAACTCACGATGCTACAACAATAAGCATTGAGAGTTTGTCAGATAAATAACGAAAGCGCGAAGAGGAGTGTGCCTTGGTAAAAATATCAACAATTTATAGAGATGAAGAAACAAAAGGCAATGTAATAGTGCCATGCTGGAGATGATGGCGAGTAACATGACAATCAATCTCAATATGCTTGGTTTGCTCATGAAAAACTGAACTGCGCGCCATCTGAGTGGCACTCTGGTTATCACAATACAAGGGAGTAGGATGACGAAGATAAACACCTATATCTGCAAGTAGCTATCGTGACCAAACAATTTCGGAAGTAGTCGAGGCCATTGCACGATACTCAGCTTCTGTAGTAGATCGAGAAATAACACCTTGTTCTTACTCTTCCATTGATAAGACTTCATTAAACGCTAAAAAGAGTAGGTTTACATGCTTAGTTGGGAGTTAATTATGATGAAAAAT